ACCTGTGCTGCCTGCAGAAACGGCTCAGAATCCAGAAATGCCAGCTGCCCCTGGAAGGATTCGGTTACATCGTCCAGACCATGCGCGCTTCGATGAAACCAGAAGCAACATTTAACGGAAACTCACCGGTAAACCAGTTTTTTGGAAAAATTGGATGACCACTTCATGCTCTACCCCGTGCACGAGTTTCAAAAAGTTACCTTAGCTACCAGCGCTTTGAGGGGCCAAGCGCTTAACTGGTTCAAATGTATAGGCAGAAGTCTCTTGGGTCAAGCAGGAAGTCCCACCTATACTTACGAGAATTTCAAGACTGCCCTACTAAAAGCCTTCCCTGTTGTAAGGGATCGTGCGAAATTAGAAACGGAACTTTTTCAGTATATATCAACAAAGAATCGAAAACCTCTCGAGCTTTATTTTAAGAAAAATTCACGTTTTCAAGCTCTTGTATGGAAACCGTCCGGATCCTGAATAATTCAAGTGATTTTGCCGAGGTTACTGCCCCAAGGCAAGACTTTATTGAATTAAGAAATCCGACTACACTGGAAAAAGTTATTTGAGCTAGCAATCCAGTTTGAAAGTAGAAGAACGGCGGACATTCGAAAGAAGACGCCAATATCAACAGCGAAACCAATTTGGTACGCCAAGACTACAGCAAACTCAAGCATACGGCTACGGAGAAAAAGCGAATCAGTGGGCAAGGAAACCCGAGCATTCAAAAACAAGCCGGCGAACGTCGACAGTTCAATAGCAACCCAGGAAAAAAGTCTCAAGGCCAGTGGAAAAAGAAGGAAAGCACGGAAAGGAAAAATAATTTAAACTAAAACGGATTTCTGCTGACGAGAGGGTGCGGAAATCCGAAGGCCACGAAAACCCCTCTTCCTACAAGTTAAATACAGTATGGTGAAAAATTTGACTCTTCCGAAGATTGAAGTCTTGGTGAATAATATCCCAGCCACCGCACTCCTGGATACCGGCGCGCAGTTGTTCCTGTGTGGCAGAGAGTTTTTTTAGAAAGTATTTTCGCAAATCCGCATATATAATTGCGGATAATACGACAGTGTTAGCGGCGCAAGGGAGAAAAATGTAAGTGCGTAGGTAAAGTACCTTTGTATATCCGTATCAAGGACGAACAAGTAAAGGTTGATGTTTTTTATAGTAAAGAATCTGCAAGCACATTTAATCTTAGGGATAGATTTTCTTTCAGACGCACAAGCAACACTGGATTTTAATGAAGCGTCCCTTAAGCTGACAATGAAACCAGTGCGTAGAAGAAAAAAAGCTGAACCGCCAATGTTAAAATCTTGACCACCTGCCTAATGACGAGCAACAAAAGAATCCGACAAGTGGTAAGTGAATTTGCTTCGTTATTTAGTGATATTCCAGGATTTACTCAAGCGTTACTAACCATAGTATCGACACCGGAGATTCACTGCCAGTTCGCCAAAAGCCATACCGGTATGATAAGAATAAGGAAAAAATTATAGAGATGGCATTTACGAGATATGTTACGTAAAAAGATCATAACGCCCATCTCAAGTAGTTATGCTAGCCCGGTTGGTTTTTATGTAAGAAAAATAATGACTATCCTTTTGAAACACATCCAAAAAGGTGGAGTTTCGCAATTGACTATCGTAAATTAAACTCCATAACTAAATATCCGGTATATCCGTTACCTATTATTAGAAGAAATTTTAAGGAACATAAAATCTACCAAATATATGACGACTTTAGACTTAACGACTGGTTATTTTCAAATAGGGGTGAGGCCTGAGGACGTGCCTAAGACTGCTTTTATAACCAAGTCTTGCACTTATGCATTTTTGCGTATGCCGTTTGGCCTTTCAGGGGCCCCGGCAACATTTCAGCGATGTATGGACATTGTGTTAAGACCTGTTCTTGGAAAGTCCACATTTATCTATTTAGACGATATCATTATTTCTAGTGATAATCTCGACCAGCATGTACAGGATTTAAGACAGGTGTTTTCTTTATTAAATGAGGCCGGTCTAAAAGTTAATGTCGAAAAGTGCAAATTTGCAGCCCCTGAATTAAAATATTTAGGTTATAAAATATCTCGAAAAGGGATCGAGACAGATGAATCAAAAATAATCGCTGTACAAAAGTATCCGACTCCAAACACGGCAAAGAAGCTCTCTTCTTTTCTAGGACTTTTGTCATATTATAGGTCCTTTATAAAAGATTTTGCGGCTATCGCTGAGCCATTGTTAAAATTAAAAAGGAAAAAGGCAAGATTCTCGTGGACGGCCGAAGCCAATAGTGCTTTCGAAAAATTAAAACAAGCATTAACGCAAGCCCCCTGTGTTGAAATTTCCTGAAAAGGATGAAATTTAGAAATTTCAGCGGATGCTTCGGATTATGCGGTAGGAGCGGTACTTTCGCAAAATCAGCAGCCCGTGGCATTTTTTAGCCGAACTTTAAATCAAACACAAAGAAACTATTCCGCGACCGAGAGAGAGGCACTTGCAGTTCTGTTAGCAGTGCAAAAGTTCCGAGTCTATTTTGGAAAGGCGCCGATAACAGTATACTCTGATCATGCGGCGGTAACTAGAATAGTACCTCAGGGTTTAGAGTTGAAATTAGAGTGTGTTAAGAGGTCTCGTTATGTTGAATTTTAACACGTTAGTGTTTTGATTGTAGGAGGAAGTGTGGCACACGTAGACAGAAACACATTCGTGTTTGGTGTTCTTTTACAACACATGTCAGAGAGCACGGGGAGAGATAATTAAAATAGTCATGAATGAAATAAGAATGTTAAGAGAAGTATATTCTATATGTTATTTGCAATGTCATTGTGTAACATTTCATTAAACTAGTTTCCTTCCAGATCTCTGGAAGGAACCAGAATTGAATAAGAGCTCCTGTTTAGATGCAGTACAGATGAAAAAAAAGTTTGTTGTATATCCTGGGAGCTGCTATTGTAACAAATTTCTTTCTTTTAAATTTTCTAGTTTCTAGAGAAGTTATGTTTGTAAAAGATTGGCCTCGCGTTAGTTTCTAGAGCTAAAAGTTTTCAACAAGGTCGTTTTAGACCTCGGTTTCAAACTAATTAACTCTGGCGGGAAGTATGTAAGGATCTTAAGTTTTACTAACGTTTATTTTATTTTAAATCTTTACTATCACTTCTTATTTTCTACTTCCGGCCAGAATTATAAGCGTGAAGGATTTTATGCAAAGTTTGTCTGGCGAACGCCAAGTACTTAAGTTGTAGCTTTTTGCCAAGCAAGAGAGAGAGGAAGCAGTAAGTCAACGCAGGCCGCTTACCTTAGACGTTACGCAGTTGCTGATTGCCTTCCAGGCCAGAGGTTTTAATCCTCTTGATAAATTAAAACGTATTGTAGTGTTCACAGTCTCTGTGCTACATACGCTTCCTGTTATTATAAGGCCAATCTTCCACGTGCATTATTCTAAAGTTGAATTAGAGTTTAGTTTTATTTTTATACTTTTACGTTAGACCCCGAGTGGCGGGTCATTGTATTCCGAAGTACGGAAGTTATTGTATATAGAGAAAAATAAAGGGTTTTGTATACCCTTCGTCTGTATCCTGTCTACTTACTACAATTAGTGAACATAGCTTTAGTAAGCTCTCTGTTCCTAGTCAGGTCCTTGTATGTTCCCGAAGAAGGTTAGAAGGAACGTCGAACCTGATACCCCTTCCAAAGACTGCACGTCTCGGGCAATACAACCCTTGGTCAGAAGCCAAATACAATAATTAACAAAACAAACAATTAAAATAAACAAAAATAAGAGAAGCAAATATTTACAAGTTATTTACAGAAATTATCTAGAAAAATTAATTTATAAGAATTATGTGTATCCCTAAGAATGAGAAGCACTAGGTACTATGGCCATAGTATAAAGCTAATCTGTCATAATGAACGACCTTAGGTTTTGAATTGGAGGACTTACGGATCCGTATCATGACGTCCTTCAGTCTGTTGAGAACTGTATAGAAACCCTCCCAATGCGACTGCAGTTTGGGAGAAATATCCTTACAACGACTCGGATTCCACAGCCACACCTTGTCGTTTTCCTGGACTGATGTTCGGCGGCTCTTGCGTCGTATCGCTTCTACAGCCTGTCCGTCGAGATGTTGATACGCTCCTGGCCAAACCTGTGTATCATTTGCAACCGAGCCTGGAAGTCTTGCACGTACTCCTCAGGCGAGGAATGTACATCCGGAGGGCGGCCGAATAGCAAGTCACTTTGCAGACGGAGATTGTGAACGAAGAGTATCTGGGATGGAGAACAGCCGGTGCTCTCATGGACGACCCTACGGCAAGCAAGCAGGAACAGGAGCAGCTTTCGATCCCAGTCTTCTTGGTCCACGGAAAACATGAGCGAGAAGAGGTTCAGAATTGTACGGTTAAACCTCTCCACCATGCCATCAGACTGCGAATGTAACGGGGTCGTCTGCGTTTTCTTGAGTTCGAATAAGTCGCAGAGTCCATTGAAAACAGCCGAAGTGAAGTTCCTGCCTTGGTCGGAGTGAATGTGGAGAGGACCAAAGCCTGAACACTCACTTCTGTAACAGAACTTCAGCTATCGTAACAGTCTATTGGTCTGGAATTGGTTACGCTTCTGGCCACTTAGTAAAATAATCCATGACGACGAGGATGTTTTGCTGCCATCTGTGGTCCTTGATAAACGTCCAAATATGTCGAGGGCATTTCGCTGGAAAGGCGCTCCTACATTGTATCGTTTCAGCCTTCCCCGGCTACGTCGCTTCGGTCCTTGATTGGTTGCGCAAGTATCACAAGATCGGCACCACTTCTTGACATCTACTGCAGAATGTAAGAGAAGTAACTTCCCAATATTTTGACCATTTTATTAATCGAAAGCCTTGCTTTTTTTTTCATTTCCGTTTTTTCCCTCATACCAATTTTCGTTTGTCATTCAGGGTTTTACAACATATAAAAAACAAGCTATCTTAATAAAGAAATTACGTTGACTAGCGAATCTACTAAAATTTCAAAAGTCTGAATAAAAATCCTTACCTCACCATCTTCGTGAAGTACTTGACAGTGGTGTTGGATTTGTCAGAGATATTTTTGGAAGCATAATGTGCTTGGACGATGCCACAACCGATAATGCTACAAGAAAAAAGTACAATTAACGACAATGGGTGCTAACAATTTGCAAAAGGTGTCACACGTATTAAGGAATATTGCTAGTTGTATTTCTTAAAATTATTTTCCCCTTAACCATATTAATTGGAGCATGGAATTCAGTTCCTTTCGTACGAAATATTTTAAGCATTTGCAATCTTTGCAATTTAAAAGTTCTTTAATAGCAAATTCAATCTGTCTGTAACAGAAAAACAAACTACGTGGTTCAAAAGCAATAAACGCAGTTCGCAAGAATTTTTTACTATGTAATCTGATTGATTTAAATAAAAATGCATTTAAATCATGAGATATGTAATTAGAAATGTTAATTTTTTTATGAAATGAGACTAGCTAGACTTTTAAAATCATCAAATAAATTTCCTTTTTTACAATAACCATTCTCGATGGTTAGCCGCGCAAGCACCTAGTTTATTTATATGAAAAAATGGCTTTAAATTTTAAATTCAAATTTTGATTGGGTGATCCTATAGCTGATCATAAACTTAATTCAGAAGCAAATGCAGATTACCTGATAATTCCTGAGAAATGAACCATTTCCGCCAGCAGATAGGATAGGTAGGCAACTCCTAACATGGCAAGAGGCTCTACCACTGAAAAAAATAAATTAATAAAAAAGAGAAATTAAATTGAAAAAAAAAAACACTGTATATCAAAAAATGTTTTGATTTTAAATGAGAAACAACGTCTTAGTAAACCATTTTGACATCACATTTTCGCTGTGTAGCAAAGAGGCATTCAAAGATGACTGCTTCCGTACTGCATTATTATGAAAAATATTTTTTCTCTGTTTTCTAAATCTATGGAAATTTCATCTAATATTTATAGGATAATACAATCATGTTCTAAAATCAAACAACTTAGAACTGTAAATTAGCATTTTAGAAATTCTATAAGACATATACGCCTCATCTTTTAAAATACTTTACGCAGAAATGAACCAATTTAGACGCATTCTGTAAACATGAAGGAAAACTTTCTCAAGATTTTCATTTTACGTATTTAGCTCTGATATCATGAATGATTTAGTTTCGTTTAACTAATAATTAGCCTTTTGGTAAATGTGTTTTATCCCTTCTCAGCTCTTCGTTTCCAGGAAACATGTGCTATGTGAATAAAATTAACACATTTAGTAAAATCTCTCTAAGACGACCATCTACCGTTCCAGATGATTTTGATCTCCTGCTAAGGGGCTCGCTTCAGAAAGATGATGTTCAATATCGAAATCTGTATTCTCAGACACACTTGCCGTTTTCAGAGGTCGTCTTAGGGAAGTGGTCACTAAATCAAAGCTCACTGTACAAAGAACTGCATAATTCTATCAAATTTATGACAGACTATGTTGCCGAATAATGTAGGTTCCTTGATTTTGTCACGATTATACATCGTAGCTGTTAGGAAATGAGGACAAGGAATTTCCAATTTTAAGTGAATGATTATAACTGCATTGGTCATTTTCAAATAGAAGAGACACACGTCCATGTTCATTCAGCGGGAAAATAAGGCAGTCTTAGTTTAGCGTACATTTTGAATTATACTTTTGATTTCGACAGCGATCAGAGACAAGTCTCTCTTCTTCAGGGGTAAAAAACATTTTTCAAAATTGAATCGAATTTATTATGCAATTTAAAGGTGAGTCACACGTGGGAAACATCAACTGTAAATTCGCAGTGAGAAACTGACAAAAGTTCGAAAGTAAGAGAACGCTTTTTTCTCTTGGTTTTTAGAGCCAAAACAAATTCGTGAGTTAAAGACACAATCTGGACAGGGGCATTAGCTGGAATGTTAAGTCTTAATATGTTTTCCAAATAATGATAGAAACAATACATAATATATACAAACAACAATACTTTTACTTTCTGAGAAAATGGTAAAGAAGCTTTTTCAAGACGGCCACTCCACATTACACAGTTTATAAATTAAAGCACGTTTCTCAGTCACACATGAAACCATTGAAGAAACCTTTGGCTGATTTCGTTTAGACATCACTGATATTATAGAAGCGTTTAATGTCCTCGCGTGATCCTTTAGAAATTCTAATAACTCTGTGATGTTCGGTACTTTTTCTTTCTTTCAATTCTTTTCCCACCATAACTTAGTATTCTGATCAAGTTTCAGACTAACAATAAAGGCAAATATAACGGAGTATTTCATATTCAAACAAACTGAAGTCTCTAAAGTAGTAGTTTCTTGTAAAAGCAATATTATAGTGTTGTGGAGGTTTTCTCATAAAAGTTTGTAGTTATTTTTTAAGGTGTATGCTAATTTTATAACAGTTATTTTTAATTTTGGAACCCTTTCTTTTCAGTTCTTCTTTCCCACTTACAACTCCCTACCAGAATAAGTTTTTAGAATCGCGATGAATGCAAATGAGTTAGTATTTAAAGGATGTTCAACTTACTTCGAAAGAGAGAGCTTAGGAGTCCTTAGTCGCGCGTGTTTGCCTTCTGGCGACTTCGTTCTTGAATCTATTACGCTCGGCCGTCTTGTACGTACCTGTTGATAATCGCCAGTGTTTTAAATTAAGGGCCAACCACGTTAGATATTTGTGTCTAGCTTCGGCTAAATCTATTTTAGTTAGTATTAAATTAGTTTCTTATCCTGATTTGAAAGCTCGTGTGGAAGCTTTCCTGTAAGCCTGAGAAGGGCCCATCTGTTAACATTTCTTTGTGTGAATAAAAGGGTATTTTAGCCCTTCTCGAGTCTACGTTGTAAATACTTGAACTCAGCGATGAGTCGCTACTTACTTCACTAGGTAGCTCGACATTTTATCATAGACAAAGTAGCGAGAGACATTGCAAAACAATATGAAGACATTTGTTTTGTATCTGCTGAAGTTTGATAGAATTTTTAGTAGATACATTTGATCGAAGATATCTGTTTTGTATCTGCTAAATTATTTTTGTTAACAGTTGCCCACGATGGCAAAGCATATACGGAACTTGGCCCCATTGCGCACTATGGAAATAGGAATTAAGCGGCTCTTCAGATCTAATTCTGAAAAATCTACCAATAATGGGAAATAGGCAGTTAATGATTTTGGTAGCTTTTTTTCTAATGTTATTAATATGATATTCGAAATCAATTTATTTTTAAGATAAACACCAAGGAATTTAGGTCTACCTACTTCGGAATGGTTTAGTAGAAAGAAACAAAATTTTCGTTAGTAATATTTTAATGTACGTTTTACGAATAGTTAAAAGCTGTGATATCTTAGCGTTGTCAGAAACTCTCCATTTTGCGCATCAATTTTCAATGTCTTGAATTAAATCTTATAGTTTCAGGTTGTACGTTTTGCATTAGACAACTTAACTGCTATTGCGATGTCATCGGCGTAACAGTCCATGAAGTAATTTGGGTTTCTAATATTATTATATTATTTTATTATAAAAACTCAGTCATGTAGGACAAATAGAGGATAGAGTCTAAACCTGAGCTCCTGGGACTCCAGCCCTGATTTCTCTCCAGTCCGAGCACGCCCTGCCAATAATAACACTAAATGCTCTGTTTGAGAGGAAAGACACAGTTTATTGGTTGAGGAAAGACATAATTAAAAGAATAATTTCGCAATCGGAATTCATCTGTATTGATTTGTGAATTAGACTCTCATGCCAGATATGATTGAAAGCTTTCGCCACATCTAGTATGAGTAAGGCAATATTTCTTCAATTATACAGCGATGCACCAGCAAACTCTTCATGTCATTCTAGTTGTTTCGTAACAGATAGATTTTTCCTAAGCCAAAGTATTCAGGTGACAGTAGTTCTAAATAGTGAAGCATTATATAAAAATAATTTATTCAAAAGTTTTCCTAAGCTCAGTAAAAGCTTGATTTGTTTATATATATATCATATGTTGTAGAGACATTAGGAATTTTGGAAGCAGGAAAGATGAAAAATGAGCAACGCCTTCGTCGGGAATGGAACCACGGAATACGCGCCCAGCGTGCAGATTATCACACCACGAAGGCATGCTATGAAGGCGGGAGAAATACCTTGTAATGTGGCATATATATTTTTAGCTGGTTTAGGCATAAGGATGATTTTTGTATAGTTCGATTTAATTGGGAAGTAAGAAATAGTCAGATATGCATTTATTATACTTCTATGTTTTGCAGGAACATTTTAGGCAGATACTTTATTGCCACGTTTGAAATACGTAGGCTATTCAGAAAGTAATTTACGTTTTAGAATAAAAAATAACAAATGAAAGTAAACATTTTTTATTACTTACATTTGAAAGGCAAATTATTCAGCTATTTTTCTACATAATCTCCACATAAATTACGACACTTATCATAACGGTACATGAGCTTGTTAATTCCATCGACATAGAATGTTGCCGCCTGAGACATGAACCATGCACGGACGCCTATATGCAGTTCCTCCTCATCGTCGAAGCGCTGTGTTGCAAGCCAGGCACACTCAAGTGTCTCACAAGTGACACTTTATCCAGTCTTGTCTCCTGTTACGACACGATCGAGAAGTAATTGACTATTTGTGGTGCGCCTCGAGAAATGTCAAGGTTGCTGCCACTGCTACCATGCACAAGAGTTTTGGCACAAAACTTGTGATAGCCTAGATCTTGCGTCACAACATCAAACAACAAAGTTCGTGAAATTTGAGGAAACTCTAGTGAGATCTCTGAAATTGTAAAGTTGTGGATTTCGTGAATCTTTTCATCGATTTTCTCTACGAGTTCAGAATAAACGGCCGGCCACTTCGTGTTTCCTCGTGAAAAGTTTTTAGCCCATTTTTAAACATGATGCGCGATTGTTTCGCTACGGCTTCACTCATTACGTCGTTTCGATACACCGTACGAATTTCCTGATAAATTTCTGCTGGTCTCAGTTTTTTGGTAAACAAAAATCTAATCACTGATTGCACTTCACAAGTGGCTGGATTTTCTATTGCCGCACATATTTTAAAGATTCACAGTGAACCAAAACAGAGACAATACGTGCCGTCAAGGCTAAAAACCGCATGCGTAGGGACTCAGTGGGCACCCCGACACCAAGATGGGGATTGCACCACTATCTCTCGCCGTGGAATATTGTTTGCAAAATTTAAGTCACATTTGTAATAAAGTGTCCGGTTATGATTATCTATGGAAGTTTCTTTTATTTTCCTTTTCGAGCATAAGATTTACGTTTCTTGACGCGAAATCTTAATGTTCTTTTAGTTTGGCTAATGTATGAATGATACATAAAAATCTACGCCAAACTAGGTTTTTTGTGCTTACTCATAAAAATTAGTGATTATAAAAATTGGTTGTGGAAGGAATCTAGTTTTCAGGTCCACTTTCCGTAAATCTTTAAATTTTTCTGAAAAGATCACAGTGCCTGTTTTGCTGAAAACAAGTCCCTTTGAGCTGAAATGTGTTTTTCAGACTGCGGAATGTAACCGTATTATATTGTATATTAAAGTTAATTAACTACATTTACTTGACGTCTACCTGAGTTGTTTTCAATTTAGTAGTCTCAAGCACCAAAAGAATAAAATTAGGTCCCTTAATAAAGGATCGTTTGAGTAGATGAAATTTTTCTAGATACTTTAAAACAATACTTCTGCAAATTACTCCACAAGTCCAGACTATGAGTTAAATTTTACATCACCTGATTAAAACTTTTTCCGATCGTTTTACGGTACACAGAATTCACAGCTCTTATTCCAATAAAATATTTTCAGCGACCTTAGGATCAATATGATAATAAGCATGACGAATTCTATCTTTCGGATGTTTCAGATCATTAATGTATTGTCTGTAGGTTAAAACATTTGAATAAAACGTCATGTACTGCTAAATCTCGATTTCCTGGGGACTATTTGGCATTCTCTTGGCACCCTGCCTAATGTTTACGAAATCAGTAGTCAAGAAATTCATAATTTGTCATTTAGGGAACAACTTGAACAAAATAGCAAATATTTTGCTCAGCAAAATAGCGTCACTAACATACCATGGAATTTTTTCACCTATTTCTTTTTTTCTGAAGTTTTAGTTGAAATACAAATACGATTTTTGAAAGCCTAAGTTATTATCAGAGATTATAGGGAAATATATTATCATTTTTCTTCCGAAACACATTATTTTCTTGAGATTTAAGAACAGATAAAGGTTTAATCACAAGAAAAGCATTCTCCTAGGAAAATACTTCAAGTTACTTACCTCTTACATCTTCGGTATGTTTGGTGATCAGGGCGGTTACGATACCCATCAAGATACCGATGGCCAGACCGCCCAAACTGACGCAAAGGAAAGCGGCGATACCCAGGGCGACCTGGAAAGAGTGTGCTAAATTTAGTTTACGAATCAGGTCATTCCGAACGTGAATTTTTAAAGTTTTTTTTTATTAAAAAAAGGTTTTATTTAAAATTTAAAAAGTCCTTAATGAACTAGAAGGTAAAAAAAGAATTTATCATATAGTTTAATGGGAGAAAGAGATTAAGTACTTATCTTTACAAAATTCATCTATAATTTTACATCATGAATAATAAAACTATGAGACGCTCTTGAGAAACTTAGACAATGGCTTATACTTTTGTCAGTGCAATTCGATTACATGATTTCCGTTATTTCAGAGCTCAAGCTTTTATTATTTGGGATATAAAACTGAATATGAATTTTAAAACGAATTGTTTAATCTTTTGTTGCAGCATGATAATTTATTTTATAAGTTTGAAATAAAAAACTATTTTATGAAAACTATTTATGTATTTTTTATTTTGTAATCCCAATAACACGCTCCTACATTGCAATATTGCAGCCTCCTCCAGCTGCGTTTCTTAGGTTATTTCCGACCAGTACAGGCATTATAAGATTGGCACAACTTTTGCACGTCATCCCTTGCATCGCTGTAGAGAATAAATGCTTTCTAGACCTAGGGATACGTCAGGATTGCAGCAGATGTTAAAGACTCTTTCCGTTTGTTAAATGCACCCTCACATTCGTTTGGCCACAAGAACGTTTGTTCGCTCTCTATCAGCTTGTAATGGGGCCTTGCAATGGAAGAAAGTCCTTCAGAAATCACCTATAGTAGGTGCAAAGTTCCAGGAAATTTCGTCCCAGGGCATTTTTGGGGCGTTCTCAGCTTTTAATTGCTGACGTTTTTCCTGAATTCGTATATATACCTTCGGCAGAGATGACATGTCCAATGTAAGTCACTTCCTGTCTGAATAGTTTACATTTAGCGGGGCTCAATTTAAGATACGCTTCTTTCAGTTTCTCAAGCACCTGTTTAAGATTTCATAGATGCTCTTCAAAACTCCTTCCGACGATGATGATGTCTCCTAATGCTATGAAATCATAGCTCTCTAGTACAGGAGCTAGCGGATCAACCGCCTGCTCGTCTAGATGATTTAACCAGGCAAGTCAGTGCCTTGAGATGGAATAGGAGTGACAAAGATTTGCAGCTGCGGTGCTGAAGGCCACATATTAAGAAACTGTAGAACACCCCAGCAAGAAAGAGAGTAACTAATTAGTGGCCATCTTGGCGGGACGGAGGTTGCCTTATAATGATAAGCTTCATTTTAAAGTTCTACATATTTCCGCAGTGAATGGCGGTGGCGGCAGTGATGGACTCTTCAGCATGGGACAAATAAATGCAGTTCTTTGCAATATGAATATCGGAACAGGAGCCAATGTTACCATCATCTGAAACGATTTGGTTCAAAATTTGGAAGGTAAACACCTCCACCACCCTGCATTACTCTCCAGACTGTTCGGGAAGAAGATCAACAAAGACTAAAGTAAACGTTAAGATCACACCTGGACAAAATCGACATGGATGGATGGCGCCTATCCTCATACGGCGTATGTAGCAAATGTAACATTAACTTAACAGTCTAATCCGAGACTCTTGAGTTCTCGGATTAGAATTTCTACGGAAACACAACTTTTTCTTGGATTTTAAAAATAACTGCATTCTGCCTCTGAAGATATAAGCCCGTTGGAAATTAAAGACGAAGTAGTTAAATCCATCCACCAAATAATAGCTCAAGACGATAGCATAGTACTAGAAAGAAGAGGGTTTTTATTACCTGCACTCGAAACGAGTACCAGAATCTTTAGCACTTGTGAACCTATGCAGGAGCGTCATCCCGATGAGATTTGCTAACATTAGTGATAAGTCAGGAGATATTAGGAATTGCGAAGTGGTTGCCAATAACCTGGGTTATACGAACCAGTAGTCCATCAGAGTCTGTATTTTCAGAGAGTCTAAAATCGGAGTTATTGCAGAATGCACATAAGAGACAAAGAGAAGAGTGCTGTAGAACGTCATTAAAGAATCTCAAACTGTTTTCCCAGCTCATCTTCTGACCGTAGATCGAAAGAGTTTGATACAATATGCAGTTGATACAGGGGATCATCCATCAATCAAGCAACATATAAGACGTCTACTGATTGCTAAACAGAAGAAGTCAGAAAATGTCCGAAGGACTTGCAAAAAAATGATGTTATGTAGCCTTCAGCAAGTCCTTGGGCCTCTCCTATCGCCCTTTTCCGAAAGAAAGCATGGTTCGATTAGATTTTCGGTTGACTATTTTAGAGTCATTAGGTTATTTTGTAGTAGGATACATGAAAAATGAGGAATGCCCGAGAGTGGAATCTGTAACTCTTACGCCCCGAACGCATGGTGGAAGGACGAAGAAAATACCTTATATATTCCCCCTTTTAAAGGGCGACTGGAAATTAGGGGACCAATCACCATATTCTGGCGGTGACGAATTATTGTCCACCAACTTTTAGTTCGGGCGCCACTGTAGAGTCAGTAAACTATTTGTAGTCGGAAACATGATGCGAGCAATGCCTTCGCCGGGACTCGAACCTAGACCTCTTGAATACGCGGACAGTGTACTACCATTACACAATGAAGGCATGCTGGAAAGAGAGAGAAACTACCTTATACTATGATCGGTTGAACAACGCCATCAAGAAAGTCAGCTACCTTCTTCCTAGGATGGACTACATTCTGGGCACTGTTTCTGGAAGCAAGAGGCTCTCGAAGCTGAGTTCAAAGACTGGGTACTGGCAGGTGGAAATATTCCCTGATGACGGAGATCAGACGGATATAAAATACTCCTGCAACATTTGAACGCCTCAAGGAGACTGCGCTCGGAGGTCTTACCCAAGAAGCCTGTCTATTATAGCTGGATGACAATCATCGTCGGAAAGAGTTTTCAAGATCCTTTGGAAAACATTAGCAATATCATTCAGAAATTGAAACAACCCAACTATAGTAAAGTCCTGCCAAATGTAAATTGTTCAGACAAGAAGTGACTTGGATATGTCTTCTCTGTCGAAGGTGTGTGTTCAGATCCAGAGAAAGTGTCAGCAGTTAAAAACTGGAGACGCACCAAAAATGTCCATCAGTTGAGAAGTTTCCTGGACCTTTGCACCAACTGAAACAGATTTTTGAAGGACTTTCCTTTCATCGTAAGATCCCTTCAAAAACTGACAGAGAGTAGGTAATAGTTCTTTTGGACCAAAGAATGTGAGGATGCATTTAACAAATGGAAGGAGGCGTTGTCATCTCCGATAATCCTGATGTATCCTGAGAGCGACAAACCACTTATTCCTGACGCGAATACGTGCAATAAGAGTGTCAATGCTGTTTTGTTCCAAGAAACAAATTGTATAAAATACTAGAGCAAGTGCCTACCGGAACCGGAGAGGAATTGCTGTGTCACCAGAAAAGAGATGCTCGCCATAATTAAATCCGTAGAACATTTCTGAAATTATTTCTGCGGCTGAAAATATCTGCTCCGTACAGATCATGCGTTGTTGACCTTGCCTTTAAGTTTCAAGAATACCGAAGCCCAAATAGCCGGATTTATACAGAGACTGCAAGAATATGACATAACTATCCGTCATAGGAAAGGATCATCATACGGAAACGTCAACGACCTGTCTACAAGACCCTGTCGAAAAAGCTGCTGATATTGTTCTAGGCTCGAAGCGAAATAAGAGCTGGTTAATCCGATTGTATGTCAAGTTACAAATTCAACCTTGCAGACCCACACGCATGGACGGAGAAAGCCATAAAACACCACTTGGAAGATAACGATATTAAACCCTTAATAGAGTCTTGAAATAGGAAACATGCCTCACAGGAATTTCAATTTGTAGTCTCCGGCAAAGGAATATCGAGCTCTCTAGGACTAATTCAATATTCTAAACGGCATCTTGTACTGGAAGTTCGAATGGGATAATGGAAAAACTTTCCGTTGACAGATGATACTTACAAATTCCCATATCCCGGATGTTCTTCAATAACTATACAGCAGGAAGACAGGCGGCCACTTCGAAATAATGAAGACTATGCATAAGAGTTAGCGCTTCTACAGCAGTAATGCAACGCCTGCCGTGTAAAAATGCTGCCAATTTTGCGATGGTTGTGCGGGTGGTAAAGTATCGAAGAAACACATCCGAAGAAAGCTACGAAGTTAAAATGTAGAAGCGTCTTTTGAACTCCTCGCTTTTGACATCCTGAGACCTCTGCCACGAACTACTGATGGCAACAAATTCCTCAATGCCATTGAGTACTTCCTAAAGTGGCCTAAAGCGTATCCTATGCTTGATCAAGGGGCTGTCACGATGGCATTGACATAGCATTTGATTTCCAGGTGCGGAGTGCCTTTTCAGTTACATTCCGATCAAGGAAGAAATTTTAGTTCAGCTGTAATTAAAAAGCTTTGCAAGCTACGCAGCATCGTCAAAACCCAAACAACACCGTGAGCTTTAGGACATCGGTTCAACGAAGGTGACAAGGTCGTTGTGGAATCGGATTTGGCGAAGAGGACTCCTTTCCTAATCTACAGTCAATCTTGGGATGGTGCTTACACAGTCCTAAACAGGCTAAAAGACGTCGTAGTTTGGATTCTAAGACTAAAGTCGTTCATCAAGATATGCTAATCCCTTACTATGGTCATCTTACATAGTCCCCATAGAATTTATAATGTAAATAGAATACTATGACCATGGTCCTATTCGTATGTAAATTTGTAAATTCGCGCATTTATTTGTTGGTTTAGTATTTGATTTGTTTTAAGAAATTTGTTTAGTATTGCATTGATATGCCACAGGTATGCCTTGCCGTCAGTGACTGTACTGCCCGGGAAGTGCAATTCTTGGAAAGAGCCAATATAACGTACTTTGTATTTATATACTAGAAGCTTCGCTGCCAGCCTTCTTCTGGCTTTTAAATGTACCGGAAAAATGGCTGAAGGAAACACCAAACGTTAAATTTAAAAACTGCGTAGAATTTTACTCTACAGAGCAACTTCATAAAAAAAACAGTTATTAAGTATAACAAAATTACAATGAAATAAGCAATATCCCTTAATACAAATATTAATTATCCTAATAAATAAATTAACAACTTCCCTTTGCAAAATCTTAAGAACTCAAATGGTATAAAGGAGGTTAAGAACTTTATTTCCTAAAAAAAATCACTCAAACTTTTCAATATCTTAAAAACAGTGAAATGAGCAATACATAACATAAAAGTATACAAAACACCAAAAATTCTGAAAAGCAAAGTATAATTAATGATATTTTATCTTATATTTTCAAGAGAAAAAAATTACAATGAAATAAGCTATATTCCTTAATACAAATATTAATTATCCTAATAAAAAAATTAACCAACTTTCCGTTGAAGAAAAAAAAAATCATGCAAAACTGTTCAGTATCTTACAAACAGTGAAACAAGCAACTTAAAAAACATAAATTCCGCGCAGAATTTTACTCTGCAGAACAATTTTATCAAAAAAAAAAAAATGTATTATATATATATATATAAATGACAATGAAATATCAATCTCTTAAAAACAGTGACATAGGAATACGATGAAAAATTGTTGCCAAACCCATATTTCTAAAAGAATGAAACTATTCAAAATGATGCGATTTCATCAAAATCTATCAACAACAATAAGAAAAGAAAATTGTTGCCAAAATCACATTTTTAAAGACGTGAGATGTGAGAAGTGTACTCGGAAGCTTCCTTTAAAACATTTTTTAAAAAAATAAAAATATTATCATTTTTCCAAATTGTTTTTGTAAAGCAGTCCAAGATGAAAGTTTAACTTTCCAAAAATAAAGAAAATAAACTGTACATTTTAAAAATAAACTTTTTTAGAAAAAAATCCCTTTGAAAAGGTGTTAAGCTCCCTTTTTTAAATAAATTCATATTCAATCGATTTTGAAACACGAAAATTTATTTTAAGTTCGTAAAATAGCTAAGTGCCTACTTTCATGACGATGGGAAAATGGAGTGTGTAGGGTAAAATCTCGCTTTCCTATAGCTCATATGTCTCAAAATGACGAGATTTCGTCACAAAACATAAAAAAATTCATTCGAATTTTGAAAAAATCGCTTCAAGGTGCACTGGCTTTTGTCTAGATGCACCTAGGTACCAAATTTCTTAGCCGTGGGTCTATTAGCTTAAGCGCAGCGTGAACGAAAAAGGCACACACACACAGAAACAGACTTTTTCTTTTATTATATGTAGAGATAAATAATGTTAGTGTAATTATAAATGAAATTTTAGTTTTTTTTTTTTTTTTTTTTTTTTTTTTTTTTTTTTTTTTTGTATTAACATGAATTTGTTGAATGAGACGAAGAGAAGACGAAGGTCTTTCCGGAAACTTAAGATTACAAGGGAAGGAAAATCTATTTAACATTGAGGGAAATAGCCATCTAGGTAAATTAGTGAGATATCGCCAAGCTGTCAACCGTTTTGGCGACTATGTTTTGTCACCAAATTTGGAAAGACATCACCAAAAATCACCAAACCTGGCGTCTATTTCTCAACATTTTGGTGCAATCCCTGTGTACATATAATTCGTACTGCGATTGTGTAAATATAAAAGATCCTTATCTGTTATTGCTCTCATACCCGACCCTCATTTGCATTCCAATAATTTTGAGAAGTGGAAGGTACTACAGATTTCTCGGGGGCAGGGGAACTGTATAAAAGAGGCCCAGTTTCTCAGTTTTTAGTTCATAGCTGAATTCGGAGTATTGGCATAACAGAGAATGCTTCAGTATTTATGTGCGCTTTGCATTCCGTTGTGTTTAATGCTCTTAGTAGTTACGTCTAACAACTGATTATGCTTTATAATACTGAGAAGAGCAGTAAAGCATCCTTTTGGTAAAATAAATTTTATCAAACTATCATCAATTCTGTGTGCATTCAATCTATTCGAACTCATACGTACGCAACAATATATATACTTGCATATATATATTGAATACAATATATATACTTGTATATATATATATATACATACACATATATGTGTTTGGTGAGGCCGATTGCAATAAAAAAGAAAGATACACAGTTAGATATTATAGCAAGCCCATACACAAAATTCAAATGTTCTATGACTAATCGTCTTTGAGCTATGCTCGGTACACATAGGTGTTTGAATTATGCGCGGCACTTGCGTAGATACAGAGTACGTCACGAAAAAAAATCTCTTTTGAATCCATTTTACTATCCGTTTTGGAATTAAGAGCCCTTTATTTTGCCCATGAGTGCAAATGTCACGCAAAAAAATCGTTCAGATGGATACGGCAGCAATCAAAATGAATATTTTCTTTCAAAAATGATACCCGAAATTTTTCGAAATTACAGTAATTCCTTTCCTTCGTAGAAGGAAGTAAAAATGACAAATTTATAATACGTTAATAAAAAAAATTAGGAATGTATTTTTGTTTTCTGCTTGAAATGTTGAACGTGAAACATGCATTTGCATTAAATTTCTATGGCTGAGAGAATATAACATTTCAAAATTCGAACTGCATATACGTACTTGCTCTGCTGTTATATACTCCGCTTTCGAAAATCCAACCATCATCATATACAGAACAATAGTGACTGCATCTGGATTGGAAAGGAAATAAAATTTTTATTAGTTAAAAGGTGCGTTTATCTGAATGCAATTTTCATCATTCAAGCGAGCGAGATTTTCAAGAAAAAAATTTCTTATCAATGAAAGTTGATAACCATAGAAACAACCTTTAATTTTAAAGGAATAATCCTGTAATGCACTTAAAAATAGACAGAACTGACAAATGCATGAAAGAGATTAAAAGGAATACACTTGAAATAGTGGTCACGCATTGTTAGATTGAATGTGAGAAAATGTGTGAAAACTGTTAATATTATCAATTTTAGCTAAAATTAAAAGGTGCAAGTTAATCCTGTTAAAACTAGCGAAAGTGGGACTTAACAGTTTCGGAAACACACAAACAGCTGGAAAAAGAAATCCCAGTAAACGACAGCCTACAGAGCTGAATTCGGAGAGATACTCGAGAGAGCTTCGCTCTTTATATGCGCTTTACGTATTTGATCCCACGGTACTATGGAATGTATATGAAAACATTATTATTATACATCATGAATTGGAAGCCCATTTAGATGCTTATTTAACAATAATACATGCTCAAAACGGTGTTCTTTTGTCCAGGCTTAAGAACTGAATAAAAGAGACATGTCTGGAATAAGCAATGCTTCTTCAGGTGAGTAAGAAGGAATAATAGTGATCAATGAAGTCTTTCATGTCTCATAAGGTAAAATATCGAGTTCTAGAAAATGAGCAGTTAAAAGATTTTGAAGAATTTCACCTATGACACCTATCTTTTTCTTCATGTTTCTTGGTATTGTTGCCGATATATGTCATGACAAATTTTAACGAGCGTGGATAACCCATCTTTCAGATAACAGACGAACTTTCTAACAATATTACAACTTACCCTAATTTTGAAAGCATTACTAAAATAAACTGAAGAAATAAGAATCTATCATTGATAGAATATCGAAATGAAATAAAAAACTATTAATCTAGCGATTAAAATGGTCTAAAATACATGTTTTTTTTTAAATCGAAGAGTATGTAAGCTATTTATTTAAATTAACCATTTATTATGTGTTTTATTATGAATATATACTGTCATTTCTACGTTTTTACTTTACCTCCAGATTGCAAAATTTAGCTGGAGCATATTTAAATGAGATAGAAATAGACAGTGCTTAAAGGAGGGGGGGTGGTGGATTTCTTAGGTAGAACTTGCTCTGCCTGCTGAAGGCCACGTAAATAATTGAAATAATACTATGGCATTCTGTCTACCGCGTTGCTTTTATCTTGCCAATAGTGCTGTCAAGCAGGTGCAGGTTTTAGCTAACTTGAGCTTTAAATATTTCTGTGTAGCATTTGGCTAACTTAGAATTAATTTAAATTTAAATTTCTTACTTTTGAGATTACGAGCTAAATTCTGGCTGGTTTTGTGAGCACCTGGACCGCCTTCTCTGAATATTTGAATTCTTAATATACTATTTCAATTTTTAATAAAAAGGTCTCTTGCATTCTTATTACGTTTCTGTTTGCTATCTAGACATAGCGATAATTCGCTCAGTTCTAATTGGAATCTTGACTTATACGTTATCAAAGAGAGTGAGACTACAAATATATAAGAAAGAATAAAAAAATCTAAGCGCATTATATATGACGTTAGAATCTCTTTTATTAACTGCAGTAATACTACAAATACTCATAAATATGAACTGAATTGTAATAAAAACTAAATATGTTTCAACTGACGAATAGTTATATATACTATTAAAACTAAAACAAAAGTTAAACTACAATAAATTAAGACGTAAGTTTATTACTTTTAAGCTGCTTGCTATATTATGCGGTTATATCCTGAACAGTAAAAATTAAAAATCTAATTTTTACTATTTATTTATTCACTTTATCCTTTAAAAACACTGTTCAAACGTCCTATTTTTCCTATACGTGAATTCAATTTAACTGTGGAGCTTTCTGTTCACTATTTTTTGCGTCCCCGTCTGGTTTAACGGATCTTATATTAGAAAGCGTGGACGCAATCAGCTGATCAATATTCTTGTTCATCGAATCTTAAGTGTTGTATTACTTTTTTTTAATATTTGCTTATACTGTTTATACTTGGGATGTAAATTGATGAAATTATCCGAATGATTTGATCACATGTAAAATGATGATCACACTTCGCATGTAAAAACTGTTACTGATTGGAGTTGTAAAAAAGGTTAAAAAATTTGATTAATTTTTTTGGTTCTTCTGACATATTTATTCATAAGTTTAAAGGAACTGTTAACAATTGTTCTTCTGATATAAATTTATTCACAAGTTTATAGGAACTATTAACAATCAAAAATACTAATTAAGCACATGAAAACATTGATAAATATCAAAATGTTTAGTTTAATTATTCTTTGTTTTAAAGCTCTAGATGGTAAAGCAATGTGAAATAAATGTCCTAAGTTTTAAAACTTTTATTTTGGAAAACAGGTAAGGTGTTATTTATACAATCTTAAAGATTTCAGTAATACAATCACTAGGATATTATAAGCCTTATTATTATTACATAATTTTATGATGCATATTTTGTGAACCGCTTTGATGTTAGTTTTAAGATAGTATGAGATGAATGAATTTAAAGGAATGAATTGCCTACTTTATTTATTGTTTACTTAAGCTATTATTTACTGTTACTTCAGTAATTATACCTAGAGTTAGCAATGACATCAGCATCTTGGTTAATATGATTTAGAAAGGCGAAGAAGAAAAAAAAATGAGGCTTGGCCGTGTGGCTACAGCTGGCGGTATTCCAAAAATAATTATTACGTACTTTCTTATTCAGTAAATAGAACACACTCGAAATGTTTTGGTTCTTCTGACTTTTTTTGTATGTATGTATGTAGCCGTTTTCGAAAACTAAAAGATGATTGTATTCTCAATCTCAGTTGAGATTAAAAAAATACAAGCATTAAAAATATTATGTTTAAAAATAGGCATAAGTACGTAAGAAAATGAAAAATAAATCGGCATTTCGATTTAGCGCTCTTACAGATGCATACAACTGTCCAATGTTTATGTTTACATGGAATTATTTCGATTAGTCCAAAAATTTTAGTTTTCTCTGTGCGTTCGATGAGTTAACAGCAGCAATAACAGTCATAAAAGTTTAGATCTCTGCCTGTGCTCGACAAGAGTTTACATTAATATTAACACATAAAAAATAAGAAATATGAAAGCTTTCCGATTTTATATTACGCCCAAAGGGACTTTTATTTTTGAAGTTTTGTCTATTACCTTTATATACTAAGTATCATGTTCTTCGCACTTAAACCATAAAGTTCAATTCATATCACAAAATATTTAAAAGAGCATATCTTTAGAATTCCGATACACAGTCTCGCGCGCTGAAGATTAATTTTTTGTTCGTACAGCGCTGCTGTTGCTCGCTTTGAAATCGTTGAGTCTGTTGATAAAAAATTCCTTAAGTTTTACAAAATATGAAATGGATAATGAAACAAATTCAAAACTTGGGCTTCCAGATGCCCATATTCGAGTGGAGGACTACGTTCTTCAAAATTTGATAGCTCTAGGTACCATTGGTTTTTCACAGGGCGAAAAATATACATACATTCATGCAGATTCTTCATTTTTTAATTTATTTAAATATAATGCAGGACTTTGATATTTGGTGGCAACAATTTGAAAAGTGAAACTATAGTGGAATATGTAAAACGCCAAAACAAAATTAATAGCTCTTTTCAGCAAATTGGCCTTTTGGGCTAAAAAAATCATTTGAGACAGATCTTTGGGGGAATGAAAACAAGGGTTTAAATTTTTACAGGACACAGGTACACGTTCGTGTCATTTCAGTTTAAAGCATTATTCAATTTGTTTACAACATCGAGAGCTTAGTAGTTATTGTATATTTTGTTCACACTACTGGAGCTTCAAATATAAAAATCTTACGCAAATCGAATAACATTCTTCCAGAATCTGGAATCTTGTGCTATGGTAACATTTTCCGGATCTTATGGCTGATGAATGGATAGCAGCTTAAGAAAACGGCCCCGAAAATTTAAAAATACTCCAGTAAAGAGGTTTCTGACATAAAAAAAAAATAATCTAAATTAAACTTTTAAGAGCTTGAGAAGCTATAACAATTGTAATTTTCTAATGTTATGCTGCTATAAATTTTCTTTCTTGTACTAAAACATTAAGCTAAGTCACTTGTACTTGATATAGGAAATTATAAACAGTTTGCCGTTGAACAGTCAATCAGAACATAAAGTCTTGCCCAAAACTGCAGCAGTCTGAAAGCTAATTTGATTTGCTTCATTTATTTGACAAGAACTATGGATTTGTGACCGATTTATATCTAGTCGTACGGTGTTTCTGAAATAACTGATAAAGGTCAAGTCCCATTTAAAAAAAAAATAATAATATATGCTCTAACAAAATTTAACCACAGAGCGTTTAGCTTTCTAAGATAACAAAATAAAAGAAATTACAACTGAATTAAAAAAAAAAAAAACCCAGGCGCCAAAATTCGTTTTACAAAATTTCGCTTCAACTCAATTTTGAAACGAAAGTTGCTTACTTAAGTCAACTCATTAACGTGCATAAAAATTAATGAATTGCAAACTTCTGATGACTATACTTACGTAAGAATAACTTACGTAAGAATAACAAAAGACTCGAAACAGCATTTTGCGTTGAATCCATGGACCTTCTAAGAAATAGACTAACCCAAATGGGTTTTCTCCCTCGTCTGAGGCGTTCCCGGCTGTCACCTTGATCACATCCGAAGGAGTAGGGACTAATTGCAGAAATTTAACAGTGGTTGCCTATTGCAGCGTGTATAGTTGTCAAGAAAAAGCTGGTTGTAACGCCTCATTCCACAAATTAGAATTTCTCCATATTTTTATTTTTAAAATTGAGATTGATTTTTAAAAATTTAGCATATTTAGCAAGCATAATTAACGTTCCAAATAATTATAAAGCTATTGCATGCTTTCAGGGCTGGATATCTTTTTATCTTTTCCTATGCTGTAAGGAAATTTGTAACTACTTCTTTTAGAAAATAATATATTAAATCTGAACTAATAGAAAATTTCAAACAAGCAATTTTCTCTTGCAATTTTTATGATTTTTATTGGTGTAAATAAGCAAAAAATACTAAAACATTTAAAAACGAATTTTTGAAAATTTTGTTTAAAATTCTAAATTGTGCTGCTTTTTTAAAATTATAGATGAATATTATAGCACAATTTCTATAAAGAAACTTTGTTTCAATTGTATTTCATAATACATCATAGAGATAAACACTTTTGACTCCTTAATAATTTTTATACATTTAATTCTAATATTGAAATTGTATTTAACCGTAATAATTAATTTTGTTTGTATTTCATAGTGATTATTTTTTTTAATTTATTTTTAGTTCTGCATAAGATTTTTTTTTCATTTACTGTTAATTTAATTTATTAGCCCAAAGAAGCGGTAGCCTAGAAAGGCTGTTAGTTTCGAAGCGGCATTTTGCACTGATTTACTATAAATGTCCGTGTCTCCTTGCAAATTGTTGTTACCAAATATTATCGCCCTGTATTATATTTAAAGAAATTAAATAATGAAGAATCTGCATGAATACATGTATATTTCTCGCACTGTGACAAAAACGGCAATATCTAAAGCCATCAAATTTTGAATAATGTAATCCTCCACCCGAACATGGTCATCTGGACGGCTGAATTTCGAATTTGTTTTAATCTACTTCATATTTTGTAAAACTTTAATGAATTTTTGATTAACAAATTCAGCGAGTTCAGAGAGAGAGAGCACTGTATGGAAAATAACAGTTTTATCTCCAGTGCGGAAATTCTAAAGATATGCTATTTTCAAATGTATGTGGTTTACGGGCGAAGAACATGATATTCAGTAAATAAAGGTAACACACAAAACGTTCCTTTTGGCCGTAATATAAAATATGAGTACTTCTAGATTTTATTTTACCTTTTTTTCCCCCTTCATTACACTCAGAAAAGTTTATTCTCCGAATTTTAAAAATTACTAAAACAAATATTCCACTTTAACGTTAATAAGTTAATGATGATACAATCAAATAAATGATTATTTTAGAATGTTATTATAGTTTCAAAAATCACTGCCTGAAAATGGTCATTAAATTTAAAAAAAATTGTAAGATCTTGTTTAATTTTACCTTATTTATTTCAAAGCATTTTTACAGTTTTAACAAAGTAAAGATGTTTGTACAAGAATTACGCATGAAACAAATGCGCGAAATGCAGTAAAAAGTGCTTTAATGAGATATATTAAATCATATTTGGAAAAAACTGTGGCTTTCATAATCTCATCACTATGCAATGTATCACATTTAATAATTAAAAAGAGTTATGTGATACAAACGCCATAGGTTTCAGTTTTAATCTTCTCAGCGTTACGGGCCGGAAAATTCCGTACAGAAGGTTGCCTTCCACATTCATTATACATGAAAATTTCTGCTAGCTTTTAATGTATCGGATTTCAGTTTGGATGTATTATTGGAAGCAAAGGAATCAAGGTACAGAATGAAAGAATCATTTTTTAATTAAAAATCAAGAAAATATTACTTATTCATGACATTTTGAGGAACTTTGTAATTTCAGGGCTAAACCCGTAACGCTCAGAACCAGATCGTCCCTACTCTTTCTTGCCGACCTGTCAGTGACGCGGCGCGCCTCGCCCACTGGGTTAGTCTATCTCTTATAAAGTTCATGGTTGAATCGCTATAAACTGCGTATTACTTTTCAAATTATTGCCACCAAAGATTATCCGTGTATTATATTTAAAGAAATTAAATAATGAAGAATCTGCATTAATGTATGCATGCTTCTAACACTGTGGAAAACAACGATACCTAAAGCCATCAAATTTTGAATAATGTTGTTCTTGCTCCGAAGATGGACAAATGGAAGCTCGAATTTTGAATTTCGAATTTGGTTTATTACCTATTTCATATTTTGGAAAACCTTAACGAATTTTGATTAACAAACTAAACGATTTCAAAGGAAGCAGTGGCAACACTATACGGGAAAAAATAGCTCTGTTTGTTCGAGAATGTTTGTCGGAAATTCTGAAGATATGCTGTTTTAAAATATTTTGTGATTTTGCTGTTGTAAACACACGAAACGTTAATAACAAAAAGACAAAAAAAAAGTTTAGTAAAGCTATCTTAATAAGAAAACTGAACAATGATATGATAAATTGAGAAAAGACAACAACAAGAACAAAATGTATGTCAACACTTAACGCTGCATCGAAAATTATAAATGTACACTGCTATGCTAGTTTTAAAATTTTTGTAATTTTTCTGTTGAATCGCATATGGCATACGTGCGAAGAAAATGATGCTTAATAATAAAGCAAAAAAGATTTAAAAAAAGTTAGTAGGAGCGAGTATAACAGCAAACGGATAGACTGCGAGCTCAGCAAGAGAGTGAACACCTTAACAAACCCTTTTGGGCGATCGTTAAAATCTGAATCCGATCAGGTTTTTCTTTATTTATTATTTGTTTTTGTCGATAAATTAACTTTTATGACAACATGTTGTTTCTCTTAGTGTAAACTCTGTGTTACACATTTACCATGGCTTCGTTTAGGGAAAAATGTTTAATACTTTTAATAGTAATTAGGAGAGTATCTTATTATACTACTATGTACTGCCGATTTTGGTACTTTGAGACAAAGAGTTTTCGCATATCAAAACGGCTCTTTAATCCTCATGCGTTTACTTGTATATCAGATTAAAGCAGTTAAAAACATTTTTAATATCTATGTATCCAGTGTATATTAATATATGTTCTTTTACTCTACGGAAACATAGATTTAATACTGTTTAGAGCTAGACAGAGCGGGCTCTGGTCGACGTATTTCGAGAAAACTTGATATATACGAGTGCATTTTGTGGACTATAGAAAAAAGAAAACTGCAATAAAAATAATAATTCAAATTTTGACTATCACATGAGAAGGGAGTGTAAGAACAAAAAGCACAAATTGGAACAAAATTTTATTTAATCATAGCATTTGTTCAGTGTGCATTCCATTTGCGTCAATCACATGTTCAAAGCGTGCTACAGTGGGTTCAACAGTAGCGTAAAGTGTTTCTCGATCATTTGACATTATTCATTGCATTAGGTTCTGCATATACTTCAAATCCACTGAAAGGCTGATTTTTTTTATCATTCTCATTGCGTACATGAAAAGCATTTCGTAGTTCTACTTATTTACTTTCTTAGACCAGTCAAGTTCTGAAGCTTATTTTAAAAAGGTACTAATTCCCCAAAATGTCCAATTAGTTAAACGGAGAAAAAAAATAAGACTAAAACTATTGAAAACGAATGCCATTGCTCTATTTAAGTACTATAAAAGATGCTTCGAATATTTAAAAAAATGGTTCAATGGCCTCTCTTTAAAATGCCTTTCATTTAAAAATGGTTCAGTAAAGAAGCAGAAGTCAAGTTTACCGTTTAGCAATGATTCTCCAAAAACTAAGAAGTACAAATTCTTATTAACACCCACTTCTTGAAAAATAGCCAGCACCTGAAATGGTATAAAATCTTGGTTACAGTTACAGATAATGGCAATAAGTCAAATAAAAATTTTAATTCGTCTCAGTAATGGCATGATCTTGCATCTGCAGAAGAATCTCATTCTTTTAATTACCATCATCACTCTTAATCTCGTTCACTCAAAATTTTTTGTTCCAATTTAAATTTCCTTTAATTCTTTCAATTATCTTAAACTATAATTTTTTATAAATATTCATGTAATCGAAGAAATAGGATGATTTTTTCCATATGTATCGATATATGTACCATATGCTTCCCTATTATAATGCTTCTCGATAAATCGCTGTTTCGATTACACGGCTCTTGCCTAACGAAACTAATACTTGCATTTAGAATATAATATTTTACTGATAGAGACATCTGTCTTAATGATAAAAAAGTCTCTTTTAGAAGCCAGTACTGCAGTATATTCTTTCTTTGATACAATTTAGAGTTGCACGTTTAGTGTTTGTCTGTGTTAACTTTTGAAAAAATAATCCTCTCCCTTTTTCTGTAGACTTGCTTTGATTAAAAAAGATTTTAGAAAATGCAAAATATCTGTACGTTATTCAAATATGTTTCACCATATTACGTAAAGGAAATTAAGATTGAGATATAAAAGCTTTAATTATGTGCTCCATATACCACATTTCATAATAAATACAGGCGTTCCCTTAAATTTGCTCTTTTTATATTTAAAAAAAAAAAAAATCGAATATTGCCATAACTAAACAATTTTTAATATTTCAATAAAAGTTTTCTTATTTTCCTTTTTTCTTCTTATATGAAAGATCGAGTGATTTGGCACTTGAAGGGTTCAAGAGATTCAAAAATCTTCTAATAACTGAATTTGAGAAAATTTAAGATCCGACTACTTCATAAAAATGTTTCATCATTTTGAATGAATATTCGATATTTCAAGTTCAATGTTCTTACAAGGCCAATCTGAGTATTACCCCACGTATATGATGGCAGAGTACTGTTTTAATCTCTCACTGTAAACATTTTGAAGCAATATAGTGTTGAAAATTTAATGCCTTTTATATTGTTTTAAAATTGCTAGTAGATTATGATACGTTTATAAATTTTCCCTATAATCTGTTAGAATAAGAGGATTGAGAGATGATTCTTTTAATGTTGATCCTAGACATGTATTACCAAACATGACATGTATATCCTATACATGTATAAAGTCTCTCAAAATAAAATAGAAAATTTTATGAAAACAGTTTCAGCCCTGCGGATTAATGGAAAATTTAATTCTTTAAACTGTCCCCTTACAGAAAGGAATCCAATTAATAAAATGCATTTTTAAGTTAAACTGCAAAGTTAATATAAAGTTAATAATTAATACTGTTTTATCCAATACGGAAACACCAATTAGAACACACACACACAAAAAAAAAAAAAAAAAACTTTGTTCTGTAGTTTCTCTATAAATCTGATCAAATTTTCTTAGTAATAGGCACTGAAAAGGATTTAAATCAATAAAATTTTCTTCCAATATCTCTGTGAATTTTACAAGTTACGTTAGGTTATTTGAATACGGCAAAGTATACGACAGCTATCTGCCGAAGGAAAAGGACTTTCTAAGGGAAACTGGCTCATATTCAAGTTATAATACATGGGAAAAAAACATTAAAATTCCTATGCAGCCGTCACGTTCGCTAGGATTTGAATTTGGATCAAATTACCAGCGTTCAGCAATTTTAATGCTCGACCACTGGAGGGCGAATTGGGTAAGTTAAGCGTATGGAACTTCTTTAGTTTAACACACGGTGTATAAAGAAGGGGTAAAGCTTTTTTCCTATTCCAAATGTAAACATTTATATGCCTTGCTAGGAAGCTAAGCTTTGTAATAGAAGAGGAAATGCTTATGTTTTTATGCCATGGATTATGTTTTGTACAAATTTTTAAGTTTGTGGGATAATATTCTGTTAACTACATTTTGGATTCGGTTTACTAATGATTATATTTTACTCTTCATATTATAAATTGATGTAAATTTTGGCGAAATGTAGAATTTTATGCTGCAGTCAACATATTTTCTTATATATCATAATGAGTTATTTATGAATCAAATGTCAATTTTGGTTTTGATATTTTTATCGTTTTCTGTTAAAAATTTCCATATATTTGTTAGTTTAGGAAGACTGAATTATTTTTCAAAATTTTATGACAAGATTTTTAAATAGAATTCAGATTTAAATTCAGTTAAGTATTCTGAATACTTAATTACTTCGAACTCTGTTTATGTTGTTCATAATTAAAGACCAAAAGCAGTAGAAAAATCTAATCAAGCAAATTCAATATTTCTTCTTATTATTTAAAAATTGTGTTTTGACATAACTTCTAACAAATAAATGCAACATTTTAACTAAAAAAACAATATAGATATTTTCTGTTTTAAGACTACAGGCTATTTAAGACTAAAGGCTGTTGGCCGCGGTTAAATTATATATTACTCTCATTATCTGGAATAATGTTCTCCTCCCCCCAAATTAAGTAAATCTAGCGGGAGAGGATCCTGAAAAATATATTTAAAATATATACATATATATATAAGTATCAGAAATCAGCTGCATACAAAATAAAAATATACTTATTGTTCTTAATTTTTTTTACGTTACTTTGATGCTATTCTAACATTTAATGACCAAGATTTAATTTGAAAATTTTAATGCCTAATTAAAATTGAGTTGCAGCTTGCAACACTGGAATAGGTCTACAAATTCAAATTTAAAATCCTTGTGCGTGATAGTCTTCCCTCTGCACTGTCACAAAATTAAAATCTTAATTTTTAATAACGGTTTATTTATATGATCAGGTTACATGATTTCATAAATATTCATAACTTACTAAATACGTTGAATTGATTTCACACAAAATCCATGTTCATTACAATCATTTGCTGCTCTTATATTCTCACTCAAACGTGCAAGCAATGTTAATTATAAGCGTCATCATTTCCATTTATTATAAAAAGCTACTTCAAACAGAAAAGAAGGAAAAAATTAAGTTTATCTTGTTTTCTGTAATTGAAGTAAAAATTCAAATATTCTATCATTCTATTTAACTTAATCTAAAGATTAATCTAAAGATTGCTTGCTTTCATGCACGAAATGCAGATGCATATTAATTTCACATAAGTATGTGGAATATTTAACTGATTTCCAATTTACTACTTTTTAAAAGCATACAATAAATTTCCTCTTTTGTTTACTAACCATCCATAAACTATATAAAATCATCTAATTTGTGATCAGGCATAATACAAATACTGTTTACCTTTGGTGATCTAAATAGGCTTGGATTCTTTATTCCCTATTCTTGGGCCTTAAAGTTCTACAACCACTGTTGCATCCAGGGACGAAACAGGTTCTATTAGATGCCTTAGTAATAATGAAAATAGATATTAAATCAGTATTTCTTCTATTATTGCCTATGTAATATATAACGGTAAGATAAACTAGTGTTGACGATAGTGCCATCTATAAATAATATGCCAAAAACGGACCATTTTTGGGAAATTTGGTAACATGAGTTTCACCTCCTTCTTTATACTCTGTGATCTGAATAATCTCGATTTGCAAATAATTTCCGCAGCTGTTGCCACAAGCTAATTAAGAAATAATAACAGTAATTTTTCAAACAACATTTGTGCTACTAAATTTAATGTGTGCAAATAGAATCTACTCCTAATACACAATCTAACACTTCTATTTTTGGAAGACTTTTCTTGTCGATGTAACCAGAATTATATTTTTAACAAATTCTCTTAAGTATATCTGAATAATCGTTTTCTATGGATTTTCTTAAGTATAAATTTGAAGTCTTTATTAAGGAAAAAGTTACTAATTTTACATAATATGAATAATCCCTTCCGAAAAGCTAAGAATATGTAAATTAAAAAATACATTTAATTTTAATTTATTATAGAATGCTTCCTTCTGTAAATTCTTCGAATTCGTCATTGATTTTTATCTGTAATGCAAATGTTCAGATCTTAAAGTAAAACTTATATAGCTGATGGTGGCCCATACTTTAAGTACTCGTACACATTTCTGCATATGAAAATTAAGTACTTTTAATCTAAGTAATACTTACAGCTACTGGATCTACAGCTGATATAAGAGCACTGAAAACAAGGCATTCCACAAGATGTAGCTGTCCCACAGCTCCGACGTGTGTCAGTCCGAACAACGCCAAGCCTACGGAAGAGAAGAACGAATAGTGTTTGATTCGGCTTAATTTTTAGCATACAGATTTATGTAACTATGAATATGTGAAATATCATTCACATATTTATTTTAAGTGAAACAGGAAAAGGAAAATTTTCTCATTAACTCTCAAAAGACCCTAATGATTTCATACTATGAAGAAAATTGCATTTGTGCGAAACAGAAATAAAGTCCTCGCGAACTTTTATGGTAACTATCATACACAAAACTGTCTTTTAAATGCAACTGTAACTGTACTTGTTTAAGTAAAGATATTAAATTTCGATAGTCATTAGCTAAATGTAATCCAGCAATATTCTGTATGGTTGTATTTCTATGAATATTTTAAGAATACTACCATTTTATATATTTAAAAAATAGACTGATGATTTATGAGATAAATTTAATAATTTCTTTCAAGTGCAAAGATAATGTATGTGGTAGGAGCTTAAACAGATCATAAATCTTCTTGCGAAATAATATTTTTGGAAGACTAAATACCGCGACTCGGCAGAATGGCTTCATTAGCCATAATACAGAGGAGAAAGGGATGTATTAAATATTATAATTCCTTTACTGAATCTTTCGTTTGTCTTTCCAGTAATGATACACTTCAGAAAACATTTAAAGAAAGTTCTGAAATGAATACTTTTTTTGTGGTAAACATATTCGAATAACAGTTCAGTTGACAGAAAAAAAGTACTTGTTGAATTAAAAGATGAATAAGAATAATTTTCAATTTGCCATGAGGAGTCGGTTAGTTAATGAATAAATTAGAATAATTCGAGGTTCAATTTTTTCCCTTTAAACGCTCCTAATGGATATTCTTTAATTTATAATTTTATTACAATTGGTATGCTAAAAGAATTTTCACACAAATAATTTATAAGTTTTCAAAATTAAACATTCGTTATTTGGATTCTTAAGCCACTTTAACGCGATCAATATCTGTTTTAAATATTCTAAACTGTTTCATTGAGTCGGTAGAATAAGTGTTTAAAGAAAAAGCTTGTAATCATGGCCGGCTTTAAAATTCCATGTTATTCTTGTTGACAAATTTTTTAGCCAACATAGATAAAGCACAGTAAGCTCCTGTTTCTGAATATTGGTTTGGTTTATTCGATTATGACAAAGCACGCTAGCGCTAGCTCCCTAAATAACAGCTTAGTTTACTGCACTGGTGAAATAAATTAAGGGAATTTTCATATTTTATCGAATTGCATGAAAAGAGCTGAATTGAAGGAAAAACCACTGCTTCTATATAAAAATGCAAATCTTGTACGGCAAATACGTAAGCGTACACGTGTGTGTAGGCGGAGCCAGCAGAAAAACAAGCTTTATAAGAGCGTGTAGGGTAAGACGAATTTCTTGGTGCTGTCTTACAGCAATCGGTTAAAATTCACACTGGAACAGTAAACTGAGTAGCCACCAACGTTTAGAAGATGGAATGAGCTGGCGAATTGTGGGGAGGCTAGAGGCAGGCCAATCGCAAGTCCAGATATGCAGAGAGTTTAATTTAACGCCCAGCGTCGTGTGTAACCTATGGGAACAGTTCCAGCATACTGGATCTATCGAGAAAATGCCTGGGCAAGGTCGTCCAAGGGCCACGACGGTCAGAGAAATCACTATTAAGCCATGTTAGCGAAGCGTAATAGAAGGGCTACAGCTTCTCAGCTCTCGCGGGACCTGTATACAGCCACAAGAGCCCTTGAAACAAGGGTGACTGTTTTCAAAAGACTGAATGAGAGAGGATTGTTTGCCAGAACACCGGCTGTTTGCGTCCCGTTCACGTCTATTGTCATGAGAGTCCGATTAGCATGGTGCAAGCAGCGTAGTGATTGGAATACGGAGCAATGGGCCACCGTTCTGTTCACCGACGAGTCCCGTTTTAGCCTAAACACCGATTCTCGCCGTACCTTCATATGGAGAGATCCAGGGACCCGCTACCTACTCTCCAATGTCCACGAAATCAACAATTGTGGCGGTGTAATGCTTTGACCAGGCATCATGTTCGATGGCCGCACACATTTCCACGTCTTTGACAGAGGCTCTGTGACTGGTGTGAGGTATAAGGATGAGGTCTTGAAGCCCTATGTTCGCCTTTTCCGGGGTGCAGTGGGCCCCGATTTAATCTTACAGTACGATAACGCTTCTAGGGAGCTCTTCTTCTTCGTCGACGAATTTCTCGAGAGGGAGTATATTTGCTGGATGGATTAGGCAGCCAGGTTTACAAACGTGAACCCTATAGAGCATGTCTGGAAGCTCTGGGGAGGGAAATTGCAACCCTCCTCCGAGAACCATCCAGGAATTGAAAACAACGTTTCTGAATAAATGTGACCAATTGCCACAGGCACTGATAAACTGCTTTATTTCCAATATGACATCACGCTGCGAGGGCTGCATGGCTGTAAGAGGGGACCATACCCCCTATTATACCATTTCTTTTGTGTCTTCTGCAACCGCTGTTTTAGACCTTCAGACTCCCACGAGTGTTACACACGGAGATGTGTGTCTATTATAACTGCTGAATGTTTATTTTGTTTGTATTATATCAACCTATATTCACACCAAATTTTATTAGAATCTGTCCAGTATTTCTGGAGATCGTAGATCAAATATGAAATTCTCTTAATTTCTTTCACCAGTGTAGTTTATTTGATTACGACAAAGCACACGAAAGCTGCCTGCCAAGAGGTAGAGATGTCAGCTTCGCAGATGATTTTCTAAATGGAACTAGATCATATCCACGTTACACATGAGAAAAACAACGAAAATGTCCATGCAGCAGTCCATTCACCTAGAATCGAACTCATGTCAAAACTATCAGTGTTCAGTGACTTGATAGCTCAGCCGCTGGTGCGCCCATACTTAAAGCATTCGTACGCATTTCTGCACATGAAAATTAAGCAATTTTAAGAACTTTAAGGACTTTAAGGACCTCGATAAGTCCTTAAAGTTTAAATTTGGAACTGAAGAAATTCAATTAAGAATATTATCTATGCCTAAACTTCACTTTTGTTATACCGTCCTAAGAATAAAATAGATCCGTAAATAGGATGCATTATTATTAAACATGATATATAACATAATAATAAAAAAATTGAGAATAAAATCGACCTTGTGAAATTTATCAAGTAGCATTAAATATTTTACACTTCTAAGTATTGGAGACATTTGAAAGAAGATTAGCGACATTTTATTTACGTTTTACTAACAGTTACCTTTATACTGATTTTTTTCTTTTATGTTTCATTTTATTACAGTCTAGAGGTTTAGCGAGCAGCAAGTAGATGTTATGTCAAAAGGTATAGATTAAAATGAGAAGTAAATTCATAATGAGCATGATTCATAACAGGAGACTGGCTGTTGCCACGACTGATGTTTGCCTAGAGAGAGACCAGCTAAACAGAGCAAACCTGAACGGCTGATGTAGGACGCTCGGTTGGCACGTTTGAAAAGTTAGTTGTGCTCTGTCTGTCTGAGGCAGTTAATGTTGTAGCTTCGCGTAGAGTTTCTGGGGTTGCAACCCAATTAATACACTTTAAGGTTTGAATAAGCCACTAAAGTACTAGAGCTGAGAAGTTGTTTTGTATTACTTTAAGTTTCACTAGATGCAAAGAATAAGTGTTACATTTTTTTGCTGTATCTTGTGACCACGATAAGGGTTAATGAAAGGCAATAACTCCCTTTACCACGTAGAGATAACCTTAAAGGCGGAGCAGTTTCTTACAAATAATTAAACTGGTAGTTAGATAGATACCCTTAGTCATTTTAGATCTACATGGCCACTATTAAATTTTATTTATTTTTTAAAAATATTTGTTAAAAAGTACTATTAAAATCATAATCTAATAATATTTCACAGTTTAAAATACATGTAATTTACGCCACTGATTCTTGAAAGTATTAGGATAATTGCGCATTAAAAGCTAGAAAAAATTATGTTTCGTAGCAACAACACGCAACAAAATATTTATGCGTCTTTTAATTTTAAGCCTTCCCAGACATTTTGTCTAATTTATATCAATTTTCTTCACCTGAAGAATCTTTTCTAACAAATAGAAATTTGTTTAATACGCAGCATTCCTACTAATTTCTGCATACTTTATCTCCTAACTTGTCAATATACCTATATACCTATGAGGTTGTCAATATACCTATATACCTATGAGGTTGTCAATATACCTATATACCTATGAGGTTGTCAATATACCTATATACCTATGAGGTTGTCAATATACCTATATACCTATGAGGTTGTCACCTATATACCTATATATACCTATGATGTTGTCAATATACCTATATACCTATGAGGTTGTCAATATACCTAATATACCTATATAGGTTGTCAATATACTATATACCTATATACCTATGAGGTTGTCAATATACCTATATACCTATGAGGTTGTGCTATATACCTATATCCTATATACCTATGAGGTTGTCAATACCTATATACCTATGAGGTTGCAATATACCTATATACCAATATATATACCTATGAGGTTGTCAATATACCTATATACCTATGAGGTTGTCAATATACCTATATACCTATGAGGTTGTCAATATATCTATATACCTATGAGGTTTCACTCGATCTAGTTAAATCGTATAAGACACCTGACAGACGATTCAATGACGCCATTCTTTTATGATTAACTATGTTTTTATTTAGAATTTTGTTACATTTGATGTCCTGAAAGAACTCTTCCACAAGTAATTTATACATTTTTTGACACAATTAATTTATAAGTCTAAATCTACGTCACTAATATTCTTATGAAATTTTAATCATTTGAGAATTATAATTGTTTATGTAAGTAACTATACATACGATTATATCTATTATAATCGCACAAAAAATTATGAAACTACAAATATTACATGCCGATACTGAAGCCCGCCAATGTTTTCTAGAAGACGAATTCTATGAGATTCTACAACTAAGATCTCCATTTTGAAAAAAATTATATTGATAAATA